ATTGACACGGACGACGACGACGACAGACGACGACGGACAATCACTCATATGATAAGCTCCGCTCGACAAAGTCGACAGCGGAGCTAAAAAAAAAAATAGTACCTCTTCCTAAAATGTTTACACTGACAGCTTGAATGGGATTGCCATTGGGTTGAGAGGGAAAGGGTCAGCTATTCACAAGAGCTTACTTAGTTCAACAGAACATTGCATATGCATTGTATTTTATATCGAAATAGATTACAATGTTTTAAGTTATCACTAAGAGGGTGTCATTTGCGCGGCAGCTATTGATGATAAATCCATCGTTATAATATTATGCATAGAGATCCATTTTATAGTGAAGTATAGAGCTTTTTTTTCTAAGCACACACTGCTTTAGAGGAATAAATTGAATTCCAATATAAAACACAGTATTTTGTTCCAGACAGGGGGCAAATTACTAGCGATTTCTGAGTGATTCCCTTGCATTGCCCCAGACAAATCAAAACATATTAAGCCTCCAGTGCATTGAATTAGACTTGGTGCGGCAATAAATTACGAACCGTCTCATTTTCTTGGAATTTTTCCCTGAGCTTGCATAACATCTCCAGCACTGTAATTATAGTCACTCTCATTTGTTCCGCAACACTGGGTTCAATTTTACTATTGCATTTAAAAAACAAAACAACAGGTGCTGTCTCAGCCACTAATAGTATAGAACTGATTAATCACATCATCTCAACGTACGTCCTGAGTCATTATATGCAGTTTAAAATTGAATTTCATAAAGGTTAATTATAGGTCAATGCAGAAATGGATCAGAAACCGTTTTCCCGGTGGAACAATATAATATTAAAGACAAAAATTTGAACAAATTGGGTGCAAATTGAAAAATAGTTTTAGCCAGATGACCAATGTAGGCAGCTACCTTGAATGCATGATTTTACAACTCAGTAAATAGAATTAAGATGATTCTTTATGTGTGCAGTGTCTGTGTGTAATTGTTAAGATAAGGTTCAGGGGTGGATAACAAGAGACGAACTGGTGTACACTATAACAGATGACTTTATTGAAACTCCCGCCGTGATGTGTCAAAACACCCACTTATATACACAAGTTTACATTCCTTGCATTTTGGCGGAAAGTGACTTTGGCCTTGTACATGATTGGGTAATAGGGAAACGAGCTGATAGGTAAATAACTATTAATGAGGTTGTTTTATTGGCTAAAATTAACGTACTATGATTGGCTAAATTATTTGTAAGCAGAATCCTAAATCGACATCAAGCTCGGCTAGTTATATTTCCGATATTTCTCCGGGCCGCGAAATAAAAGATAGTCATGTAAACGAGAATGAACAAAAGTTGAACAAAGTAAACGATAGTTTGAAGTAAAATACGAAAGTACAGTAAATATATGCGAAGATAAAATACAATTCAGGATAGATATCGATTAAATGCGAGTAAATATAAAGTTCGAAAATTCGTAAAATCAACACAGTCACAAACTGTCACAATAAGCTAAGTATAAAATGTTCGGTATATTCAGT